CTGTCAGTCACACCTTACCAATTACTTGGGTGATAGAATTTATGCTAAAGTCTTAATGATTGGATAACAAACTTTCTTAAACATGCAGACATCTCCCCAGGCTCTGTTTCTTATTGTTATGAACTATATTTTATGACTATTGACCATTTTGATTATGTGGAGAAGTAAAATTTGAGAAGAGACTATGGTTACTCTGTGGGTATATTCACTGACTCATATTATCTTCCAAGTCATTCTTTTCTAGCTAATGTATTTGTTGAAAATACAGACATATTGTTAAATGAAAACTTTAAACCTAAAAGTTCACTATTCACTTCAAATAAACTATACCTAAACATCTATTTTCCTATGAATTAGAGACTTTAAATAGAAATTTGATTTGTGGTGGGGTTTTCTGGATGTGTAATATGAACAGATGTTACCAGGCAACTTGTAAGAAGAGACTACATAAAGGAAATGCCAAAATAGTTGAAACTTTATGATTGTTTCCTGGAGTAATTTAGAAACATCGACACTGAAATTCTTGATCTGTAGAATTCCTAGTTTGCTAGCAGAATTCTATATTCTGCTGTGGGCACAAAAGACTGACAAGTTTATCAAAATACTGTTATCTTGTTTTAAGTCAGACCCAGAATGTTATTTCCTTTAAATACTACTCTGTCCTTAATTTTAATAGGTAACGTTTATTTATTGTATTGAAGCATTTATCAACCAGAATCATATGCAGTCTTATTCAAAGTCTTAAAATCAATTGAAATTATCTTCTGAAATATTTTATTTCCAATAATGTTGATTTCTACATCTGGAGAAATGCAAACTGAAACTGTCATGCCAGTGCTTACCAAAGTGAATTACTAATTGAAATCCTTGAACATGTAAAATGGATTGTGATTTGTTTATAGCTGTGAAGTTTCTATTGAATAGGCAGTGTGCAAGGTAAAAGCTTAAGAGCACAAGGAAGAGAATGTTAAAAATCTACTCCCACAGTGAGAGCTTATTTCACTAAAAGTTGTTGTTTTATATATGTGTACAACTTCGATTGGAATACATTATGGTAACTTGTATAAACACAACTGTCATATTGCCATGTTTAGCAAGAATCCCTTTGCAGAGACAGTGCAATTATAGCTTATGTGAAGAAATTAGGGAAAGAGGACTGAATACAATTTTAAATCACTTTGACAGAAGAAAAATATTGGCTATTTTTTGGTTATTGTTGATGCTATTTTGTATTAGAATTTTGTTGTTGTTTTTGCTTTAAGGCAGCATGTATTTGTATACTGTGAACATGTATGGGAGAGCTGATATACAATTCATGTTAGATTAATTCTGTATCTTAAAAACAAAATAAGGTGTCATGTTATTAAATTTAAAAAAAACTTCTGCACAGCAAAGCAGACAGAATAGGTGGTATTCTTTGCCATTTACTCACACGAAAAGGGATTCGTGCCCAAAATAAATAACTCAAAAAATGTGAAAAGATAAAACGGTAATATAATCAATAATTAAAAAGTGCCTTGAAGAAGAACTTCTGAAATGGATTAATATGATCAATAAATACATGAAACATGTCCAACAATATTCAATCATAAGTACAATATAAATCAAAATTCTACTAGAGTGTAGTGGCATCCCATTCAGTTATGAGTATCACCAAGGAAACACTAATACTGCTGTTGGGAATGTCACTGAATCAAACCAGCTGGAAATTAGAAGTCAAGATTAGCATATGGCAGAAGTGTCTGAACACCAATGCTCATTATGGCAGCTACTGTAGATGAAGTGGTAAAGAGGCCATGTATACATAGCTACACAAATTTATTATTCAGCCAAAACCTCAGCTATAACATTTTCTGAGAAATGGATAAATCTGGCAAACATCAGGGCTTTCTTTAGTAAACTAGGCATAGAAATTCTGTTACCAGTTGTTTTACTTAGTAAGCAAAGACTAATTTTTAATTAGTTAATAATGAATTTTGGAGATGATACTTAGGAGAAATAGGAAGAAAGACCTCTGGAAGCATGGCAGTAGACAAGAAAGAGATGAGTGTGTATATGATCAGACTACATTGTATCCATGTATAAAAAGACAACAATTGAAAGCATCATATTGAAAAATTTGTACATGTCAACAAAACAGGGAAAGATGAGGACATAAATAATATAACAGTAAGAAATGTTAACTTTACAAATTAAAATATTTACTAAATTTTAATAACTGCTCCCTTTGAGATAGTTCTTTATTAATCTGTTCAATTTTTAACTAATATAAGCCAATTATGAGTTAGGTGTTTGTAGATCTCAGTATTCAAGTAGCTGACACTGTTGTAGTGTATAATCAAGGGTTTCTTAGCATGAAAAATAGAAAAAGAGAGGTATAGGAAAGGGAAAAAAGGACAGAGGGAGAAACAGAAGGAGGAAGGGAGGTTATATATATTATTATGCTATCCTAACTTATATGTCAAGCACTATTTCAAGTTCTAGAATTACAATTATTGACGAAAGTCCCTTGCTTTGGGAGGCTTAAATCTAATAAATCTCTAACGAAAAGCAAATTATTTTTGAGTTGAAATTTTGTTGGTCTGTAAGATATGTCTACATTTAGAGCAGACTAATGGGCTTATGTGAATAGGCGTGTGTGTGTGTGTGTGTGTGTGTGTCTGTCTGTCTCTCTGTCTGTCTGTCTGTCTGTCTGTCTGTCTGTCTGTCTTTGTCCTGAGTATGACATTCATAACTATACCTTCACAGGTGTAAACAGATGTGGGTGTTTGTTTGTTTGGATGCTACTCATTCACAGAGCTCCTTGCTCTCACCACCTTAAGGACATATTCTATGGCTTAGCAATTACAGTCAGAGGTGTGCAGAAAACTTGTGCATGGGTAACTCTTAGAATCAAGAGGCTGCCCTCAGTTCTAGGTATCACTCACAGAAATTCTTCAAGCAAAGTTGGTGCTTTGTAACAAAAACAAAACACACATGAAAACACAACAAAAACACAAAGCAACAATCTACTTTGAAGAAATGATTTTGTCTTTGGAGCATCTTAAATAAAACATGACAAAATGCCACTTGATACTCACCTTAGTTCGTAGAAGAAACCTCAGAGAGGACAGTATAGCGCTGTCAGTGCTGAGTGGCTGAGAGCAGTGAGCAATCACAGCACCGGAGACTGATGCTTCCTAGATCTCAATGCCTGTTTCACTGACACCTCCCTTCCAGATTCACTGATCTACATCAGCATCACACTGGCATCTGTTCCCGTTTCTGTTTATTTCAACTTTTGCAAAATCAATATTTGTTATATTACATTTTACTGTATTTTATAATGGAGAAGCAGGGAATGTTATTTTATACAAAACAAATTACCTTTGTGTGATTGAAGTTGTATTTCCCATCATGCAAAAATTACTTATCAGACAAACTCACACAAAAACATTCTACTCTGTGAGCATTCACCGACCGAATGTGACTCAGTGGTGCTTTCAAAGCTATCAACTAAAAAGTTTAAAGAATAGTTTCCTCCATTTGTTTTTATTTTTTATGACTTCTTAGAAAGAGCAAAACTTGACTATTGTGAAGTCAGCATGCCACAAATAGTTTTTCCTAAAGAATTTTTGGTTTGTACATGATATTTAGAATAATGAAAGAAGAATTCATTAGAATACGTACAGCATGTATGTTGCTCAAATTTTTAAGAATGCTTTCCTATCTCATGACGTTGCTCAAGAACATCCCTTATACCTACATAGCACATTGTGTTTCATTTGAAAAATCATAGAACGTAAACATTAAAAAGTAAAATAAATATCAATAGTGAATAAAATTATGTAAAGTTAACAATAGAGTTACTAGGTAGAGCAAGAGTATTAAAAAGTATTAAAGAGTATTAAAGAATTATCTAAGACTGAAAGGTGCTTAGTATAAAAATTGATGCCCTGTAGTAAAATGAAAGTCGTTTACTAGAAATTCAAGTTCTGCTATATGTGACTTAAACATAGTCTATCATAATTTTTTAAATATTTGTGCTATAAGAGGCCAAGGGTGGTAAACAGTATGTGATGTATCTACTCAAAGGCTCACATCTTAGGTCCTTCCCCTGCTTTGACAATCCACCATGATAGGCTCAATTCCATCCTTCACAATTTCTGTGTCTCTTCTTGAAATTTTCTTTACCCCCAAATCATCTGATTCTCAGTGTTCCCAGCCGTCATCATTAGCCCAAAAGTCTGTCATGTTTACCATATTTAAAACTAACTTCTTTCATATAGACCTTTACCAAATTTCTTCTTAGTACTGCTAATGTATCATAATGCCTTTAAGTCCATTATGATTTTAAGACACCATTTTTCATACTTGAGACGAAATTGACCTTATTGCACTAGTTTCACAAGCAAACCTCTATTTTCTGGTAAAATATCAGATATCGCCATCGGTGGCCACTTTCTCCTGTCCTTTCACATTAGGCCAGGAAAACAATCTGAGAGTAATTCCTCACCTGACTTTTAAAGAAACAGCACATCCCACTTAGAACTTCACCTTTTCAGTGAGCACAGCCCTGTAGGCTCCCTTCCTTCTGTGGAGTAGCCAGTGGTAGTCTTGGGTGGGGAGCTTCAAATACCAAATTGCTTTTATTTGAGCCAACCAGGAAGAAAGTACATTTGTGTTACTTTTCTTTGGACTAGGAAGCTCACAGTGGGGTATTATAAAAGCTTATTATCAGTTTTTGGTCATCAAAAATGCCTGACAAGAAAGCATGTAAGTGTATCAGAAAATAGGGACAGACTTTTACACTTGAAAATAAGTATCAGCATATTGAAATATTGAAATTCAGCTCTTTTGTACACAGGAAGAAATTTTACATGTAAAAAAACCTGTATTATCTCTAAAAGTATTTTTTTAATGAACCTATTATGCAACAAGCTGATCACCCATGATGCTCTGCTGAATGTTGACAGCAGTTTAATTTTAGCAAAAGATGGCTCTGAAGCAAATACACTTTAAATGCCCTAGAAGTATTGTAGATTGACTGCTGTGTCACATGCATGTCAGTAGGTGGGAGAGAGGGGAGAGGCTATGCTAAGCTTGAGTTTTCTGACCTGTGATCCTCTAAATGTTTTAGTAGCACAACATTCTCAGAGGAGGAAAGTGAATTGGAGATGACCACAAGTCTGGTGCCCAGTAGGCCCAGATTTGGCATCTAGAGCAAGAAGCAAGCCAGAGGCTTGCCTGGGCTCATAGGTCCTGAGCAGGAATGAGCCTGAGACAGCCACCAAACTAGTCTAGATTGCGAGCTCTCATGAGATGAATACTAGTCCAGCACTGTGCAGGGATGGCCATACCCAAGATGACATCTGCCCATCTCCATAATGCATTAGCAGAGCAGAGAACTCCCTGGACCACTGCTGAGATAAGCCCAGACATTCAGAGACCCCAGGGGCCACCAAGAGGAGCAAGTAAGTGGTGGAGAAATACAACAGAAAGAGAAACAGAAGGATAGGAGCACAATGAAAACATGCCTGGAGACTTGAGAATAGTGAGAAAAAGCCTGATGTTAGTACCTGGTGGGGATGCCACCTGGGACTATGTTGGGGCCCTTGTCTGTGGTGGCATTGAGGGCCACATCTGGTTCTGTGTCCCTGCAGAAGCAGGGGTTCATTACCGTGAAAGGACAGGCGGACATCCCTGATTTGGACTGTCTCCCGGGAACATGTTGCTGTGTGAGATCTGTGCAGAACTGGCCCAACCCCTCTCCTAGCCATCAAGGGGAGCTCACCCTGGGGATTTGAGAGCAGACAGGCTGATTCTGCCTCTGGGTAGCTGCAGAACTTGGGGACTGTAGACACTGTACCTCACTGGGGCTCAGTGTAGTAGAGCTAGATCTGGATGTGGAGTTTGGACACCAACATGTGAACAAGGGAGAGATGACTCTGCCTCTAGTTTGCTACCAAGTGGCATCTGTGAGCAAACACTTCCCCTGTAATCTGCCTCCCCACTTTTGCCCTTGCCACCAGAAGTGAGCAGAAGAGTTAGTCCAAACTGGGTCATCAGAGCTGGAGAGACGGCCCTGCCTGTCACCTGCTGCAGCACTTAAGAGAGCAGACCCTCCATCTCACCTGGTCAATAGAGTAGCGCTAACTCAAGAAGGGCGCAGGTTAGCTGGCCTCGAGGTGTGAGCTTGGGAGAGCTGGCCACACAGCTTGTCTTCCCTGTGGCTTTGTGAGTGAGGGGGAGATGCCCTGCTCCACAGTTGCCTCTTGCCACCCTTGCAAACAATAGAGCTGGCCCTGGGGTTTTAAGAACAGAAAAGTTAGTCATGCTCCACACCTGCTGCAGCACTTAGAAAGTCGGGCCCTGTGTAGTAGAGCTGGTCTTGGACGTTGGGGTTACAGACGAGGTGACTTTAAGGTCATAAAAGCAGGACAACTAGGAGGCTGATCCGTTCAGACACTCACAGTCCTAGACACAAGACTTTGAACAGGCCCATCTGAAACATCTACATCAATGACCTACTGGAGTGCATGAGTGTCAGACTGGTCTTATAGACCCACAGCTGTAGAATCTCACAACATAGGGCAACAGCAGGATATCCTAGAGGAGACCAAGGGGGAATCCCCTATAGATAGAGTAGCAGAATCTAGAGATCTAATACGAGGTCAATGAGTCACTGCAATGAACATTTGCAAGAAAAGAAATGTGGACCAAAGGCTATCCCATTGGACACATTGTGACACGCTACGGCTTCCACAATAAGATTTTCTTTTCCTCTGTTGAAGCTTGTGTTGAAAGGGTGGAGGGCAAGTATGAGAGGAGGAGAAGATGAATGGGATTGGGGTGTGTAATTTTGAAGTAGACCAAGAATCAATAAAAAGTAATAAATAAACCAGCAAACAAACTACCCTTTAAACGTGATGTTGTTGTTGATAGGTGCTTGATAAACTCTTATTTTTGAGAGACTAGAAAATGAAATAGGAATAAGAATGGGGATGAAACTTATTTATCTTTTATTGATTTCTCATCATTGTTTGGTGAGAATTTGTATGAAGCAGTTTTATTTTTATATATGTTCTGAGTTTGCTAACACAGTTCTCAAAGCTGTGTCTGTTTAATATAGTCAACCAAATGTCTAAACCAAATGCAACAATAGAAAGGTAATATCACATTTTAGTCTTCTAAGGAAGTGAGCCTGTGGAGAGAGGCAACTCCAGGAGTTGCCCCAAGTTGACCTAAAACACATTACATTTCTTGCTGTTTCTGTCATTTTTGCTACCTATCCACAATGAGGTGGCCACAGACGTATTTTTAATTTAAAAAGAGCAGCAGAGAGAACAAGTCATTTTGTGCTCAAACCTGAAGAAATGTGGCAGCTTCCTCTTTTGTGCTTAGTGGAATTTTGGCTGTGAAGTGAGTTCTGTTCTTCTCTAATGGATTCTAGATTATGGACTACAGGATGAGGCCAGCTGAAAAGGAAAGTCCCACAAAACTCTATGAAAGCATGCTTTCTTCAGACTGATAATGGAGTCTTCCTTTCTCATCCTTACTAACCTAGGACCAGACAAATGGACAGAAAAGTCTTAGGAATCTCTGTCCTAAC